AATTTCCGGAGGATGAGGCCCAGAAATCAGGATTTTAAAAGGATTCCCAGGTGATTCTAATGTGCAGCCAAGGTTGAGAACCACTGATATAGATATAGTATTTCCAAAGGTAGCTTCAATAATAGATCCATGACAAATCATTTCACTTCTACTCTCCGCTCCGAGGGCAGGTTCCTGCCTGAAAACTCGCCCTGAGGGCCAGTTCCTGCCTGAAGCTTCACCCTCTAGGAAACAGCTACAGATGACCCCTGCAGGACTGACTTCCTTCTGGTTGGTCATGGTTCTGGCCAAGATGTTACACCCAGGGTTTTTATATAAGTAGATTAGTATTAGAAGTTCAAAGGATCTCAATTTATTAGGTTTCAAAAGGATGGATCTATTTCAGAAAGCTGAAGGCACATATGAAATCATTTTCAATTGCTATCTGCTTACTTTGGATTGAACTAATTTCTGCCTCTCATACTTACTCCATAGAGATGAACAGAAGTATACTACTGAGACTATATTAACCAAAATGATATAATGTTTGCAAATAAGTCTAGTATGATAAAAACAACAACTTTGGAGCAGATAAGAGTCAGTGGATAAATACAGAAACTCCAAGAATCAACCCTACACCACCATTTGAAGTACAACCTGCTATACAGCTTCTGATACTCACCAGTGAATGATTAGAGGTGGATGGATTGACACTATCAACACTGTCAGCACTGTCACAGCTAAAAACTTCATCATCTGATTCCTGCACAGAGGAATAGGATCTGTCAATTTCTTCACACTTCCCCCTTAAAATTCCACTCATAGCTGTAGCGCTGTCACATGTACCTGGAACAGAAACAGGGACAACAGAGCATTGAAATACTTGACCACTGATTGCATACTCATGGTTTCCAAATTGTTTGGGTGGCTGTGATTATTTTTTTTATTGAATTCATTGAGGTGACATTGGTTAATAAAATTATATAGGTTTCAGGTATACAATTCTACAATACATTGTACTATGTATTGTACTGTGTGTTTATCATCCCAAGTCTCCTTCCATCACCATTTATCCCCCCCTTTATCTCCTTCCCTCTGGCAATCACCACACTGTTGTCTATGTCCATGAATCTTTCGGGGCTGTAATTTTTTGAACTACATCTACCACATTATCATATCTATGCAGAAATTATCCTGTCCATGATGTTTGAAAGCATTGAAAACAATTCTACCCTGATTGTTATTTGCACTCTCATCTGACAACAGTATTTTATAAGAAAAAAATCAAAATTAAAAATGTGGAATCAGAGAGTTGCATGGGCAATATGTTTTAGTGTTTTCAAACGTCAAAACAGGAGTCAAATACATTTATTTGATTTGTTCTAGTAAACCGTGTTCTGTCTTTGACAGAGCCAGAGTTCAGAACAAAATAGATCACTCACTTGCATGCTGTCATACCCACAGCATACTGATTAGGGCACGTCTATCTTACTTGGAATTTCCTTTTTCTCAGGTACAAAGACATCTACTTTCCTGGGCCTCTTTGTCCATCAAAAATCAAATTGGTTGTTAGGAATGGCTATACCTGCAGAATTTAGATGCCTTATCATGTTTCCAGTCAAATAAGCAGAGCTACAGGGAATACTTGAGTCCTATGCCAAAGAGGTTGGCGCAATACATTATATATATATAGGGTAAAACACAGTCCCTAAATATTTTACTGGGTAAAATATTTATTTAAGTCTCTTCACTCTCTGTATCAACACATCAGTGAAAGCTAGGCAGAGGTATCCCATTGCATTAAAAAAATGTTAATATCCATGTAGATGAGTCATTAAATCTCTGAGAGGAATAATTTCTTCATAGCCACAGAGTAACTGTTCAGGTGATCAGCAGTTGCAAACACAAACTCTACAATGCAAGCAACCTCAATGAGTGAAGAGGGTCAGATGTAATAAAACCATGCAGTCATCTTAGTTTTCTCTTTTGTCTACTGTTATTTTTTAATATTTTTATTGATTTCAAAGAGGAAGGGAGAGGGAGAGATAGAAATATCAATGATGAGAGAGAATCATTAATCAGCTGCATCCTGCACACCCCCTACTGGGGATTGAGCCCACAACCCAGGCATGTGCCCTTGACTGGAATCAAACCCAGGACCTTTCAGTCTGCAAGCAGGCACTCTATCCACTGAGCCAAACCAGCTAAAGCTCATCTACTGTTATTTGTAACAAAGGTATGAAGAACTACTTCTACACCCTAAGGGGAATCATAGCACAGGAACAATAGAGAATGCTCTCACAAACAAGGAGACAGTAGGTGGTAGTTGTGTGAACTGTGGTGAACAAGAGATGCATGTCTAGGCCAAAGGGAGTACCTGTACTCAAGTCCAGATCACAGTCTCTTTCAATGATGGTAGCTACATTTCCTTGGGACATATTTGTTGGGGTCCTTCTATGTTTTCTGCTTCCTCATACTACTAACTTGCATATGTTTTTGGCTTCTGACAGACCTGCCTCTACCTCAATATATCCTGAAAATCTCAAATCTGAATGCCAATTGACTCATTCTTTCAGTCTATCTCAGTTCAGATTGTTGCAAAAGGGAATCCAAATGTTGTTCAGTCATTGATGCCATTCAATAGAAAAAATATTTGTTTGTCTGGTGCCCTTTGTTTAGGAGCCATTTATTATTTATTCAGTAAACGTCGATTGAGCTTTCATCATGTACCAATGACTATTTTAGATGCTGGAGAATAAAGTACAACACAGAAAAAAAAAACTTTCTCTAATGGTGCTCACTTACTGGGTGTTTTTTGGTGAAGGGGTAAACAAATAATAAACAGGTAGGTAAATTAAAATATATAATATGTCATATGGAGATCAAAGCTATGGAGAAAAATAAGCAAGTAAGTGATATAGTGACTACAAGTTTGG